TCGAGGAATCGTTTCAGCCCTAGCTGTGTCCAAGCATATTAGTGGGAAAAGTTGGTGGAAGGACGACCAGGTGGGAGAGCAAAAGCCAAAGCTTTGAGATTCATGAAGCCTGGATGGATTGTCATAGTTTACCTGCTGAATACTGTCACAAGACATTATTAATAACAGTAATCAATAATAATTTTCTGGAAGTTTGTTCCAGATTTGTGATACATAGAAGCCGAATGCTGCTTCTCCATGTTTGGTTCTGGTTCTGGGGATGCAGAACCAGAAGACCTGAGAGTTCTGGAAGGTTGATGCAACAGCAGAAAGACTCACTGTGGCAAAAAAAAATAAATAAATAAAAATAAATGTAATCTGTTGGGGACCAAAAACATTTCAGTGCTGCATCTATTTCAATCCTGAATTTATGATTTAATAAAATGAAATGGAGCAAATATTGAATATAATTTGGTGCTAAACTGCTCAGTGATTTATAAACTAACATTTATTTTTATAATTCCTATTTGAGTGGTTTTATGGTTATTGGAAGAACAGCTAGGGATAATATTATTTAATTTGATGTCTTTTTTTGTCTGCTGCAGACGCCCCCACCCAGCAGCCCCACGAAGCCCTCCGAGGAGGCGGGCTCAGCGCCCGAGGTGCCCACTCAGCAGCTGAATGGCAGCTCAGCAGCCTCCGCCATTGGCCAGCCCTTGGAGCTGGCCCAGCCAATCCCGTGTGCCTTAGCCAGCAGAGACAACCAATCAGAGGGGGTGGAAGTGGAGGCCCCCTGTTGCCTTGACGACTGCCCGTCTGACGGAGCGCTACAGAAGGAGGAGTGACGGCGTCCTTCGCCGGGACGCGCCACTCTGAGAGTTATGTGTTCGACTGCCTTTCCCCTGTTTTTTGTAGCCCCGCCCCCAGCTCCCTCCTACGTCTCGTTAGCTGCGTGCACAATCACGCGGAGCAGGAAGTGACGCCTTTTCACTTCCTGCGCCACGTGATAGACTGAAGCAGCTAGCCGTTGCTCCTGTTTAATTTTTACTCATGTGGTTTTAAATCGTTTTATGAAGAAAGGGTTTCTCCATGAGTCTGTAAGCGCCCCACCCCAACCCGTTTCCACTCTTCCGAAAAGGAAAAAAAAAAAATACACAGAAAAAACAGCTCCTGATCGTCACCGTCTCCCACTCAGAGCTTAAAGCTTCGGCCCCCCCTCCACCCAGAATCACCACGTCAACATAGTTTCTGATGTAGCGTCTTAAACGGTCCCTTTCTTTAAAATCTCCGCACACTGATGTTACGTTTGCGGCAGCGGCGGCTAATCGGATGGGGTTTCAGCTAGCTGCTAAGCGCTGTCGCCGCATGTCTTTGTGCTCTGTTGCCATAGCAATCAGGATGATTTTTGTCCGAGATAAATTTTGGAATTTTGACTCTTGATTCATGGCAATGTTTTACCATTTTTCTGTGCAGTGACCCCCACACCCCTCCTCACTCCCACTACACACACACAAACACAAAGTATTAGCATGTGTGCTAGCTATCCCCCATCCCCCTTCTACATAGATCGATTGGTTAATTATCACTGGAGCACTTCATGGTAATAGTGTGCTATCTTACTTTGACCTATGTAGCATAGCCTAATGCTTAGATGTGCTGAGAGAGCCCCCCAACCCCCAAACCCATGAATTTATGCACCTTAAACCCTAAAGTATGCAAGATCGCCCCCTTCCCCCTTCGTCCTATTTGTCCCAAAGCTTTGATTGTATTAACCCAGCAGAAGCACTTATTGTTGTATTTTAAATAAAGCCCCTGTACGGTTGAATTGACGTTCTGTCAGGGATGTCCCCTGCTCCTGAATACATCTTTATGATGCGTAGAAGTACGTTTTTAAAAGGTAGAGATCTATTTGAGAGACGTCAGAATGTGAACAGAGTGGTTCAGCACTTTGTCTTTAAAAAAATAATAATTCAACCACACTGGACAGTCCTTTTACCAGGCGAAATGGAAATAAAACTAAACTTTGAGGCACCTTCTTGACTTGAGGCCAAAAAATGAAAAATAAAGATGTTGTTCCCCAGAAACAGATGGAAGATGTTGGGAGTTTGAGGGGGGAAGCGGCTGCCAAGCAGAGTTCCCCCCTCCAGCACTTCAAGGTCAGTCAAGAACTTTTCAATGAAGCTAAAAGGAGTCATGACTCCTGCAACAAAACCATTTCAGATCACTGAAAGTTTCAATCCAAAGTGTATGTCAGTAAGGTTCACCGTTTCAGGTGAACAAAATAAATAAAAATGGGCGCAGTAGCAATTCCTTCCAGGTCCCACCATCCCTCGGCTTGGAGCTGAGTCACTTCAGACCGACAGGAAGCCTCTTGCTGCCCCAAAGTCCTTCCCACAAACGCGACGGAGACTCTGTGGGCCGCATCACGCGACGCCCTGAGACCTCGAACACACGGAAACGTTTCGAATTAGAGCACTTAATGTTTGTAGACGATGAAATGTGCCCTCCTGCTCCCCCTACCGACCAGATCCAGAAGTACAAGCAAACCCAGAAAGCAGTTGGAGCCGAGAGACGACAGCCATGAATATTTTTAATCTCCGAACTTCGAAAGATCGACATGGGAAAAAAAAAGGCAAGTCAGAATAGAAGCACCTTATTTTCTTACTATATTACTGACTTGTGCTCGATCGTCGTGTGCCACAAACCGTTACAAAGACGAAGTTCTTCTGAAGGAAAAACAAATACACAAACCAACGACCCTGACTGTACGCGTCAATGTAGTCACGTCAGACATCTCCCTCCGTTCCGAACTCGACCGTTTACCGGCTGGCGATTAATCGGTCGGCCGCAGCGGCGTTGCACCGAGCGGCGCCGTCTTTTCACACCTGCTCCAAATGAATCCGGAGGTTCCGGCTCGTCAGAGACGCCGTAGGTGTCTGTAGAGTCAGGTAGCAGCATCAGGGCCTAACTGGACCGCAAAACACAGACACAGAGACTTAGACTAGAGATTAGAGCTCCACTTGCCGAAATACCGAGTCTAGGTTTTCTAGGAGACATAACCGCTTTCAACTTTTGACATTAGTACAGATAATAAGAAGTACAGATGGCTTTTTTGTTTTTTTATTTTTCTGTGGCGAGCCAGAGCGTTATCTGTTCCACACGATGCCCTGTTTCGATTTGCTCGCCACGCCACACACTGATATATAAATAAAACACACACTCATTCACCCACACACCACATTCAGACAGGACTCAGTTGCATTCTCTCTGCTTTTGTGCTGACGTTTTTATTTTTTTCGTGCGTGCAGCAGTCGAGTGATCGTCAGTTCGTCAGAGAACCTTTGGTAACTCGTTCTGACTCAAAATATCCCACGCAGGCAAGTTTGCACAAAAAAAAAACGCAAAAGAAAGAAAACCGCGACACGGTCCATGTGTCAGCTTGGCACGCAACTGCACACACTGACAACACGCAGATACATAGATGTTAAACTATAGTTAGTATGGTTAAAAAAGAATCAACACAACACATGATGTAGTGTCCCGTTTTTGTCCTCGTCTGTTTTAGTTCGATAGATATTGATCGATGATTTTTTTTTTCTTCTTCTCTCCTCATTGTTACTCTAACAGCCCCGCCCTCCTTTTGTTACAACACCTTTTTATTTTTTCACTTCTTTTCTCTGCCTCAAACACTCCTCAACCCTCCGAGGAAGTACATGCATCCTCACACGCATTAAAAGCAACCACACACACACACACACACACACACACACGGAGAAATATAATACACAGGTTAATCCCTACATTTCTCTCTCTTTCTCTCTCTGCCTCTGTTAGTCCTTTAGAAATCTTTTTATTTTATTTTATCCCCCTCTTTTCTCTCTTCTCTCTGGGCTGCCCCGCCCTTAATCAACCCGACTAACAGTAAAGGTTATATTAACGTTGATAATCAGTTTCTGTATGTATCTAGCCAGAGTGGAAAGAAAAAAAACCAGAAAAAAAATCAAAACTGTTTTATTCAATTGTGCAAATGTGTTTTTCTTACTATTTTTAATGGTATTACATCTCTCTAATCTTAACCTTCTACCATCGCTTCAGTTAGTACTGAAATACGCTTAGCCAACCTAGAGATTTGAACTGTAATGATTGCCATTCTCCTTACCTGTATCTATATGGCATCTTTAGACCACTTCACCGTTTCTTATGTATGTGAGTAAATATTGCCCGCTTCTTCTCGAATTGAAAATCGTCGTCTGCATAATGTTTGATTCTTACGATATCCCTAAAAAAATAAAAAAAGATCTCGTATTCAGTCCAAGCTGAACTCTCTGCACCCTTGCACAAAGCAGCAAAACATCTCTTGTGAACATTTGAGAACCAAAGCACGCCTTGCAATGTTCCCCCACTTTTCCTCCCAAACTTGCCCCTCCCCCACCTGTTGTCTCTCCCAACCTGAACAGTCTACCCCTGAGCAACGAGTTTCGGATCAATACGATGAGTATATTTAAATATTTTACAGCACGTGTGATTTATCTGACAAGTCTTTGAGGTTTAACGGTGGCGGTCGCAGAGGCGGGCCGGGACTGTGATTGAGCAAACGGATTGCAGTTAAATTCCCTCTCTGTTCAGTGACTGAAATTGAGGTGTTCCACAGCAACTCAGAGACAGAAAGACACAAAAAAAACAGACACCTTTGGTCCTACTGGGGAATTTTCAGTTATTTTTTTCTATGTTTATTTGTTCTGCTTTCTCCGACTCACCTTTTAGCTCTTTGGCTTGTTGAAGGTAACAAAGCTGCTGACAGACGGTGAATTTTCCTACAAACACATGATGAGACATGTTCTGGTTGACGTTGATTAAAACCATTTTTAGAACCATTTCATACAGTTTAACATATCAAGAATATTGGATAAATTTCACAATTCATAAATAAACAAACACAGGATTTATTCTTTAGAGAAGAAACTTTGGGTTTGATTCAATGCAAAAGTACTCTGATATTACAATACAGGCTCAAAAACAGCATAACATGATATAATTTAGTTTTATTTGAAACTGAAAAACTATTTCTACATATTGCTACTGTTAAAATAGATTTTTGGAGGGTTTGATCAAAAATTAAAGCAATAAGAAAAAATGTAGTTTTATTAAAATGCTTATTTCACTAAAAAGTAAACATGAACTATTCAATTAGTTGGACTATCAGCTCCTGTTAAGGCTACAGTCAGCTACTAGAGATGCATGCCGCCTGCAGCTGAAGAAACAAATTTATAAAATTATGTTTCTTGTTACCAAAGAAAAGGGAAGAAAAGCCCTGCGGTGCTCAGCAACAGATGGGGGAGGGGCAGCATTATGTTTTTAAAGTTTTACATATCCACAAAAATCTAACTTTCTCCAGCATATTATTAATTTCTACATTTTTTGAAACCCTAACTCAGGATTGTTCAAAGTCTGCCATTTTGTGGCCCTCGAAGTGATTTTGTGCAGCTGTTTAACCACAATAAAATACATTTTACAAAATGGCACAAACGTGATTTTCCAGTTCAACATTGGAGTTTTAAAACATTTAAAGAAAATAATCTGAGAAATTTTCACGACTTTCAAAAATGATTTAAAATCTTCTAAAAGTAGAAAGGGGAACACAGTGTTCCCCGTTTTTCGTGGTAATTCAATTTCTTTGTAAATGGGACAAAGGTTTTAGAAAACAATCAATTATCTCAACAATCAATTATCTGCAACTCCTTTTTTCTCCACAAATCACTTCTTTATTTTTTTAAAATATGGATTTTCTTACTATTGTCCAGGTAAAAGGGAAATGTTTTTCAAATCAGAAAACTTTTTTAAATAAAAAAAATATATACATTTTGTGGCCCTCAAATAATTATCGTGCCCTAATTTTATAAGCTATGGTATAAAACACCTCGCTGAATTACTCAGCGAGGTGTTTTAGGGAAAATCCACCCTCTGCTCGGTTAAAGCCAGCTTGCCTCTCCAAAGATCTCAGCTGTGAGGAGAACTGAAGTGTGAAATGTGTTCTTAGAAAAGAATCAGTATTACTTTGTGTCATACCGTGTCACGATTCGCTCCGTTTTCTGTCCGGTTCTGGTGAAAAAGGTTGTTTACGGTTCGTCTCTGCGCCGCCACTGCCACCCCCCCTCCTGTCAACAACG